TGTTTGGTATGGAAGGTCATTCTGTTGGCTAGAAGTCTTTTATAGATCCCAACACCTAAGCTGGTGTGATAGAGAGCCACCTGCCATCCTTGGAGCTCCACGGTTCTTTGGTTTGGCCTATGGTACACTGGACTATAATAGGTTCCTCCCTCATATATAGGAGACATAGCCGAAGACATACTCTAGCAAAAGCTATCTGTGCTGACAAAACAGGAACTCAATAAGCCATCAGGCTATCTGGGTGAGATGGAACCATCCTATTGTAAATATCTTACTGTTGCTGTCCAAATTGCTCCATGTTATGAACACTCCTTTTCAGTGAAGATGCCAGATGCTGTGGTACCGCGGTCAATTCTGAGCATTTGGGGGGGGGGGGCGCCGCCGCCACCTGGCTTTGGGAAGGAGAAGCTATTGTGTCTGTGCATCTGTCAGGGTCACTGGGGACTCAAAAGGTGGTTTGGCATTGAGGGGCTATTCCCCTGGGATTGGAGGTCTTTCAAGAGGTGACTGAACCAATCTGCCACACAGCACTGGAAGTCCTGAGTACCCTCTAAAATCATGGTGTGATGTGTTGGAAATGTGGCCTCCAATTTGGGTGCATTAAATTTTGTTGTCATTGGATTCTCTCCAGCCAGCTACCAGAGGATTCCCTACTTCCTGTCTCTGTGGATAGTGAGTAGATGCTGCTATCGTTCCAAATAAACTTTATATATATATACATACACACACATATACATATATAAATATAATATAATATAAAACTATATATATATATAGTTTTAGTTTTTGATGGCTCTTTATTTTATTCATTTATTTATATGCAGTCCTGAGAATCAAACCCAGTGCCTCACAAACGCAAGGCAAGTGCTCTACCACTGAGCCACAACCCCAGCCCCCAAATAAACTTTTGAGAACCAATCCATCAACAGCTTGTAACAGGGGTCCACTTCACCTTTTGAATATAGTTCTGAGGCTTATTTTTTAAAGGGACATTTTTTTCCCTTTTCCTTTTCTCCCCCTCACTCTCCCTAACCTGGAGGCCAGATTACCCTGAGTTATCTGTGTTCCACAGGAAGGAGATGTCTGTAAGAGGATCTCGGAAGTGACAAATAACAAGTGAATCCTAACACTCCATCAATGCCCCTGGACTCCCTGTCAGGGCACATTTGGAATATAGCCCTTAAGGAGCTCCTTTAAAATCCCCCTGTTCCTTCTGATGGACAGAATCACAGCCTCAGGGACAGGAGTCCCCTGTGTTTCTCCTTTGTCAGAAAAGCCATAAAACAACTTTTTCCTTTTTCTCAAAACTGTGTCCTCATTATTAATAGGCATTCATTGGCATTGGGGACAAGGACCAAGTTTTTAGTTACAAGCTGAGTTCCTTCTGGGCCTGAGAATTCAAGCTCTGCCTCTTCTCCTCACCACCTCCTGCACATCTTGCCCCACCTCCATCCCTCTCTCCTCTCTGTCCTCCTGGCCTGCCTTGTTGTTCCACTCCTTGTTCCTCTTCTTGCTCCTCCTGCCCACATACCCTCTATCCCTCCCACATACACACCATACAGGCCAACACAGGAAGGGGTTGCTCTCATCTGCGATGAAGATGAAGGAATATTTTGTATCAGAAGAAAAATCAAAAACAATCACATTGTTTCTGGTCAAGCTCAGTTTATGAGGAGACCAAAGAAGATGGCTGCACCTTAAAGCTGAACTTCAACCACAACTATTCCATTTCCTGTTCCTCATGGCTAGAATGTGGCCCTCATCTTGAGGGACTTGAATACCCTAGGCCCTTTTCTAGCACCACCTCATGGCCATCATTGGGCACATAGAGATCCCCATGGTGCTAGGGGCTACAAGCAGCAGGAAATCCTGACCAAAGAAAACCATCCAACTGCCCCATTTAGAATGAGCCAAGTGTACTGAGCCAAAGTCAGCAGGCTCCCAGGTATACAGAATCTGCCTCTCCCTCCCTGCTTCCTTGTGTCCTCTTAGCCTCAGATGAGAGTTCTGCACCCAAAGCCAGCCTTTGAGAAAATAAGGGCCACATCTAAAATAATCTCAACACTTGTAAAATCCTAAGGCCATCACTGGAGCATTTCCAGAGCTCAATTTTAAATTTAGTATTTTTGCTATGTCAGGCTATGCCTTAAGGTAGTGTCTTAATTTTACTAACTTGATTTAGTGTTTTGTTTTAATTCCAACATTAGTCAGCACATGAATTAAGAGTATGTGGCAGGGGCTGGGGATGTGGTTCGAGTGGTAACTGCGCTCGCCTGGCATGCACGGGGCGCTGGGTTAGATCCTCAGCATCACATAAAAATAAAATAAAGATGTGTGTCCACTGAAAACTGGGAAAAAAAATAAAAGAGTATGTGGCAGCCAGAATAATGGCCTCCCCAAGAGATCCTCTTCCTAATCCTTGGATGTGAACACACTTCATTCATTATCTAGCAAGGGACTTGCAGATGGGCTTATGTTAAGGATTCTGAGATGGGGAGACCATGCTGAATGGCACAGGGTAATCCATAACATCCAAATAATCCCATGGGTCTTTAACATGGAAGAAGAGGCAGAGAAAGAGGTCAGGGTGATGGATCAAGCACTCTGCCTGCTTTGCTGGTTGTGAAGGTAGAGGAAGCAGCTACCAGCCAAAGATTGACCTATCAATTTTAGGCCTGTTGGGACCCTTGGTGGACTCCTAACCTACAGAACTCTAAAGAAATGAGTTTGGGGTGTTCTCAGCCACGATGTTTATGGGAATTGGTTACAGCAACAACAGAAAGTCAACACAAGTGCCTCTCTAATTCACTTCACCAGTGACGAGATCTGAAGGACGTGATGAACTCTGCACATTCTGAAGGCCTAGGTTGACAGGTCAAGAGATACTATTACATATTTTAAGTGGTACCTGTTCTGTTTTCCCTTCCAGCCCCCTTTATAGGACTTAAATTCTATTTCCCCTCACAGGATTTCATTTTTAACTGTTTCTAGGAAATAATTATAGAGTGATAGCTTAATTTTAATTCTAGAAGGCAAAAGAATACAAGGATTTTTCTGAAGGAATCTTTTAAGATTTTTATTTCAACATTTATGGAAGTATAAGAGGACAGATAAATGAGGATGGTGAGTTAATCTGTCTGCAGCCCCACCTGGCCTGAGTGGAGAGGATATGTCACATTCCTCAGCAAACTGACTCAGGGCTAAGAAGGTCTGGCAGTCAGTGTAGGTAATAAATGATGGGGGTGGAGAACATAAGGGCTGGTTATCAAAGAAAAGATAGATGGGTTGCTAACAGCTAACCTGGGGATCACACTTTCCAGCACAATGAGCTGCTATTGATTATCCCAAGTGCTCCAGCTCCTTCTTACCCTTAGGCATATGCACAAAGAAGGAAAAGGTGGTGGGGGGTTCTGGGGTCTATAAAACAGCAAGACACACCCACTCCTCCTGACACCCAGCTCTTTGCCCACTTCTGAAGCCAGAATTAGTGAGACAGTCAGTATAAACAGGTCAATCAAGTCAGGTCGGTTTAAGGAGGCCAATTTTGAGTGAGTCTGGCTAGTTGGAGACTGTCCCCTGAGGGATTGAAATGTTAATTCCTTCAGAGCCCTTCCTCCACCCAAGAACTATCCCTGCTCCAACCTGTTGCTAAGGTAACCAGTCCCAGGAATAGCTCCCTACAGGGAGCTATAAGGTTGTTAATTAATGTGGGCTGCACCATCCTGCCCTTCCCACTTCAACCTACCTGTTTCCCACCTTTTGGCCATCCCACTAAGCATTTCCTAGGTCTAGTCACTGCCTAGGCCTAGTCCCATAGTAGGAAGGAGAAAGATAAGGCGAAGAGGCAGGAGAACAAAGGAAGCCTAGGACATATAAAAAGGGCAGAACACCTCACTTCTGGGGATGCCAGGATACCAGCTCTGGCCCCCTCCCCCCTCCCAGGAGAAGTCTATGTTATCCCCTTTTAAATAAACCCTGCTTTATATGCATGCCTTGGCATGCTTCAAACTTCAACAGGTGAGGAAGCAGGACTTGTCACCGATAGATAACCAGCGGTACCAATTCTCTTCAGAGAAGTCTGCTGTCCCTGTCTCTTTGGTATATAAAATATGCTTTCTACACTTGCCTGGGTGTTTCTCGGGGTGTTTAATCCTAAACACCAGGGGAACAAAGACCCATTCCTGATCTCCAAGATTGGTATCAGAATGGCATAATTTTCAACTATGGTTCTTAAATAAATTTATTTAATGTTTTGACTCAATGATATAAAACAATGTGTGTTAAACTGTGGTCGGTAGCCCACCTGCATCAGAATCACCTGGGATGCTTATATTTAAATGCAACCCTAGGGTCCCACACCCACAAAAGTTCTTGGCATTTCATCCCAGGAAATTGCTCCCACAATCTTCACAACTGATTTGTGAAACAGACTGCATTTGAAATTAACAGCTCCAAAGCCTTTTAACTTCTGACTTTCCTTAAGCTGAAAATGGAGTCTGAGGGACTTCCCTGGCCCTGAGGGCACTGCCCAGAGGAACTGAGTCTGAGACATGTTTCTGATTAACACAGCCTAGCTAAATATACACATGGATATTTCCTGCCTTTTGTCCTACTGCACCCCATAGCTCTTATAAAAGCTTTCCATGTTCCTAAGTCACAAACGATGGAGAGTTGAGAAAGAAAATGTTCTCTATCTTGCTCAAATCCAACATTGTAAGAAACCTTTATTTCCCTTGCCATCCTAACTCCTGAGTTTTAATGGAACACAACAAACAGCAAAATATGTCCTTCCCTGTGTAAACTGTAAGGCAAATCAAGTTTAAAGATCACTCCATCATATTATATATTGGAAATTTTTGTAAAATAGAGGAAAAATGAATTTTTAAACTTAGACTTTATGGATTAGACTATTATTTTTTCATGACAGTTTGTCTTTCCTATTCTGATATACTTGTTCTGGGAAATGGTGTAGAAATGCAAAACAAAACAAAGAAAAACTATTCACTTATACACATATTTCTTTAATAGCCACCAAAAAAAGATTGTTGTTTCCTCTCGTCCTCCCCATCCATGAGTTACGTTGGCCTTCAACATATTGCTACAGCAACATAAATAAATCTCTATCATACATTTATACACACATACCCACATCCTAGGAGCACTCTGAAGACACAGACTAGGCTTCAGTACAACTAGGACCTTGCCCAGACCACTTAAAAACAAGCAGAGGGCTGCTATATGCAAGACTTTCCATAGGCTTGGTATGGCCATCAGTTCCCAATTCGCCTGAGGGAAGTTAGGATGACAAAGGGATAACATACCTAATGGGGGTAGGGACAGTACAGTTTGGAGAACATGTAAGAAATGAAGAAGATCATGCTAGGCTAAGCATGACAGGGCATCTAACAAGTCACCAATTCCCCACACAGAATCAAAGCTCTCAGAATTGGTGGTACAGCATGAAGTCCAGCCTGACTTGCCCCAGAGGAGCTACCTGGTTAGGTGTGGATCTGTGAGCAGTGCTCACTGAACCCCACTGACACTGTCCAGCAGGGCACTGCTGCTCAGTAGTGTGCTTCTATAACTGTGGAGGAGCTTCAGCATTGGGATCACATGTCCCATGTGTAGAAGGCAGCTATTTCCTTCGCGTTGACCATCTTGAGGACAGCTGTTGAGATGAGAACCATGCTCTGGCAGGTGCTATGCCACTGAGGCTGTTCAAAAGCAGTGTCACAAGTGCTACTACGCAATCTCACATGTGCTTTGCTTAATGCTGGGCCCAGGGGAATTTGGCTACTGTTATTCCATCACTGCCAGGAAGTCATTCTACCTTTCTGCCTACCCCACAAGGACACGTCTCTGACTGCATCTTCAGACCTCCAGCAGATTTAGAGGAATCAAGCCCAGATTCTCCTCAGCAGACAGGTAGTTGTGCAAAAGAGGGGCAGGCCCATTCTTCCTGATGCTTTAAGGACCTGTGGTGGCTTTGCTTCTTGTGTGGCTCCTGGAAGGCAAGGGTCACAAGGCTGGAGTGCACAGCAGGGGCCTTAGAGATTTCACCTGCAAGAAAACATAAAACAACCCTGTTCAGATGGAACTGTCAGACCCTGCTGACGACACCCAGAGGCTGGAATGAGGGCAAAGCGTGCAGGAAGCCAGAACATGGCAGGAGGGGATTAAGAGGATGAGCTTCCAGGTCCCAGCTTAGAGGAAAAGCCTCCCTGTGCACCCAAATTCCTGCTGCCCCAGCCACTGCCCCACTATACTCTATGTGGTCAGATCCTACCATTTCCTCTGGATGAGCCAGTTCATGCTACAAGTTATGTGGTCTGAAGAAAAACAAAAAAGTGGGGAAGTTTGCCATCTTCTAGGAAAAGTAGTGCCAAGCATGAAACATGCACATGTAGAAAAAGCCTGTGGTAGGAAGGAGAAAACATGTTGGGGGAATTTCCCCTGTTAAGTGTGTATCCCAGTTTTCTTGAGGAGAATTCAAAGGGGCAGGGATGAGACCATCTAGTCTACTCTTAACAGATGAGGGGGCAGCAGTTCACAAAGGCAAGGAGGACAGCCAAAGGCACACAGCCAGTTAGTGACAAGCCTGGAGTTACAGCCCAGGCATCAGGAAGTATAAAGGGAGGCCTGCACACTGGAGATAGCCAGTGGGATCTGGAGGCTACTGGGTTACCTTGGCTGGGACAGGATAAGGCTGTACAGAAGCAATCTTGTAAGTGTTGTGCTAAAGAGGCTCAAGAAAGAAAGGAATCATCAGAGAAGAACCAAAGGGAATTAAAAAACAAGAGCTGGTTAAACCATGGCCCACCCTTAATCACAGTGTGGGAGTCAACCCTTTTGGAATATAACTAAGGAAATATTTCTTTTTTTAAAATTATTTTATTTGTAGATGGACAAATAAATACCTTTATATTATTTATTTATATGTGGTGCTGAGGATCAAACTCAGTGCCTCATATGTGCTAGGCAAGTGTTCTACCACTGAGCTATAACCCCAGCCCCAATTTAGGAATATTTCTAGGAATATGTTCAACTTCTCTGGCGAAGTTTAATGTCTAAGTTTAAAAGTTTAGTTTCTGAGTTTTAAACCAATTAGTGCACATCAAGTTTTTCTTCAAAGTACTAAGTAATAAGCACTTAGCATTTAAGTAAATGTAGAGAATATCTAGCATATATATATATATATA